GAAGAAGGGTCTAGGCCCGAAACGTCAGCCTTCCTGCTCCTCTGATGCTGCTTGGCCTGCTGTGTTCATCCAGCTCTACACCTTGTTATCACAGTTACAAACCAGTTAGCCTAACATCAATCATGGGGAAATGCTAGCTAGAGTCTATTATAAAAGATGTGGTAAAGAACACTTGGAAAATTTTAACAGATTGAACAAAGCTGGAGTGGGTTTATGAAAGGCAGATCATGCTTAACTAATCTACTGGAGTTTAGATAATAGATAAAGGGAAACCAGTGGATATAGTGTTTTTGGATTTTCAGAAGGCTTTTGATAAGGTCCGTTATAAGAGGTTAGCAAGCAAAGTTAAAGCGCACGGGATTGGGATTTTATATTGACAGGATCAAGAATCGCTTAACAGAGTGGAAACAGAGAGTTGCAGTAAATGAGTCTTTTTCCAAGTGGCAGGCATTGACTAGTGGGATACTGCAGGGATTACTGCTTGCGCCCAAGCTACTTACGGTATATATGAATGACCTGGATGAGGGAACCAAATGCAACATTTTCAAGTCTGCTGGTGACGCAAAACTGGCAAGTTTGAGAGTTGTGAGGAGGATGCAAGGGGCTATTTAGACAAGTTGAATGAGTAGGCAAACAGTATGACATGACTAAATGTGAAGTTATACACTGTGGCGTGAAAAACAGAAAGTCAGTATTATTTAAATGGTGATGTATTGGGAAGTATGGATGTACAAAGTGATCTAGATGACCTTATTCAGTAGACTGCCAGATGCAGCAAGCTGTAAGGAAGGCGAGCAGTCTGTTGGCCTTCATTGTGAGACGATTTGAGTTCAGAAGCAGAGATATTTTACTGCAGTTATACAGAGCCTTGGTAAAATTGCACCTGGCATATTGTGTACATTTTGGGTCTCCCCGCATAAGAACGGATATACTTGCCTTAGAGGGAGTGCAGTGGAGGTTCACTAGGCTGATGCCAGGGCTAGCAGAACTGTCCAATGAGGAGAGATTGGTTCGATGCAGGGAGGATGTTTTCCCTGATTGTGGAGTCTAGGACCAAGGGACACAGTCTTAGGATAGAGGATAGACCATTTAGGACTGAGATAAAGAAACATTTCTTCACTCAGAGAGTGGTGAAGGTTCTGGAGGTCAAGTTGCTGAATATATTTGAGAAAGAAATAGATGTTTACATTTTAAATCAAGGGATATCGAAAAAATTGGGAATATGGCATTGAGATAGAGGGTCAGTGATGGACATATTGAATGGTGGAGCAAGCTCGAAGGGATAAATAGCCTATTCCTGCTCTTTGTATTCCACGTCACATTAGAATATTTGAATATTCTGATTGTTTGTTTTCACTGTTTTTGGCTTGCAGTTGTCTCTGGGGTTATTCTGAGGATTCTGAATTTTTTTAGGAACCAGCAGCAGATGACTAAAAAGCTTATAAAAAAGGAGAAACTTGAAAATGAAAGAAAATTAACAATAAATATAAAACAAACAGCAAGAGCTTCTATTGCTTTTCTAAAAAAAGAGTAGTGAAAATGAGTGTGGGACCCTTGTAGGATATGACTGGAAAATTAATTTCAGGAAACAGGGAAATGGCAGATAATTTAAACCAATATTTTGCATCAGCCTTCATGCTGGGAAACAATATAAACACCCCAAAGAAGATATAAATGGGAGAAAAGATCTTATAACAATTTCTATCATGCAGGACAAAGTATTTGACAAACTAATGGGACTGAAGACAAGTTGCCAGGACTTGATGGCCTGCATCAAGGGATTTAAAGGAAGTGGATTTAAAGGAAGGAATTTAAAGAGATAGTGGAGGTATTGTTCAAAATGTTCCAGGACTCACTGGATTAAAGAAGGGTTCCATGGGATTGGAAAACTGATAATGTGGTGCTAGCATTCAAGAAAGGAGGGAGACAGAAAACAGAAACTACTACATTTAGCCTAATATCTGTTGTTTGGAAAATGCTTGAGTCCATTATTATGGAAAAAGAAAGAGCATTTAGGAAAGCTTAATGTAATCAAATGTAATCAGCATTGTTTCATGAAAAGGAAATCATGTCTAACAGATTTGCTATGTTCTTTGAAGATATAACAAATAGAAGTGATAAAGGGGAACCGGTAGATGTAGTACTCTTAGATTTACAGAACATGTCAATAATGTGCAACGCAAAAGAGGAGAGGGGCTCGTGATAATGGGGAAGGGGGTAATATATTAGTATGATTTGAGGATTAGTTAACATAGAAAGGAAAGGGTGTCTAATGTGTCTTGTTAGGTTAGAAAGATTTAACGAGTGAAGTTCTACAAAGATCAGGCCTAAGTCCTCAATTATTTACCATCTATATGAATGACTTGGAGGAGAGTATAGTGCATCCATATTTGCTGATGATACAAAAATAGGTGGGAAAGCTTATTGTGATCATGACATAAGAAATCTGCAAGGAGATATAGATAGGTTGAGTGAATTGGCAAAAACTTGGCAGTTGGAGTTCAGTGTAGGAAACTGTGAGGTAATGCACTTTGATAAAGAGAATCAAAAGGCAGACTGTTATTTAAATGGAGAGATTCCAAGAAAGTGCAGAAAGGGGTCTGGGTGTTCTTGTGCATAACACACGAGAAGTTAGCATTTAGGTGCAGCCAGTAATGAAGGAGGCAAATCGAAATTTGGTGGTTATTGCTAGGGGGTTGGAGTTTAAAAACAGGGAAATCTTGTTACAACTGTGCAGGTGTTGGTGGGGTCATGCCTGGAGTACTGTGTACAGTTTTGGTCACTGTATTTAGAAAGGATACACTGGCATTGAAAGCTGTTCAAAAGAAATTAACCAGGCTGATTCTTGGAATGAAAGACTACATTTAACAAGAATGGCTAAACAGGTTGGGTTTTTATTCATTAAAGTTTAGAAGAATGAGGGGTGATCTTATTGAAACTTGTAAGAATGAGGGGATTTGACAGGGTAGATGTGGGGAATCATGAACTAGGGGACGTCGTTACAGAATAAGGGGACACTCATTTAAAACTGAGATATGAAGATCTTAGAACTGAGGCCTTCTTCCAGAGGGTAGTGAATGTGTGGAGTTCTCTATCCCAGAGTTGTGGAGGCTTCATCACCAATGGAAATATTGGGAGTTGAGGGTAATGCTGAGCTGGCATAAGAGAGGTGTCAAGACCTGGGGCAGAACAGCCATAGTTTTACTGAATAGCAGGGCAGGCTTGAGGGGCCAAATGGCCTACTCCTGCATTATCTCCTGTGTTTTTATGTTCAGTTCTGCTTATTGCACCCCAGCCAGGGTACCTGAGGGGAGTAAGCGCAGTAGGTTTTGGGATGATCTGAAGGAAACGTTGCTGTTTCATGTGTTATGTAAATTACGTTGTGACTTGATCTTTCTGTTGATTTCTTACACAGCACCTGCCTGAATCAAATCAAAGCCAGCTAGAGGCCACCCAGCGCAGGAATGCTTTGGTAATGCAAATCATCAAAGAATCAGCAGACAGTGAGAAGAATGTAGCTCGGGAGATGGATTGGAACAAACCTTCCAGGTCAGATTCCTGAATTAAAGAAAGTTCTTGGAGATGGACACAGGATTCCTAAGATGGTTTGAATGATTGATGATCAGACCTTGGGGAAATAAAGGAGTCATGGAGCCTGAAATTACAACCGATTCCTTCACCAGCCTAAGGCAAACCCTGCCCATGTACTGTAAACAAAACGAGAAACTCTTTCACGTCAAAACTAATCTTTTAGCACAAAGGAAAGTCCATCATCGGACATGTAAATATTGGAACTTTCTTTGTATTTATCTGCCTTAAACCTGAACAAAGTGATGGGGATGACAGGTTCCTCTATTTTAATCATATCGTGCTGTCCCATCCAGTTTGACCCATCTTGTCAGATGCATGCTTCTCCCAGGTGACATTGTCTTACCTGTTCCTCTCCACTATCGACACTGTCCCATCCATCTTTCCCTGCCTCCTAAAAGGTGGCACCTTCTCACCTGTTCACCCCATACACCTATCACTTGTTTCACCTTTTGCTGCCTCTATTCTGGTATGACACTGTCTCACTTGATCATGCCCACATTGTGCCACCAGGCAGCAAAGTCTTGCCAGCCTTGTGCCACTCATCCCATTCTTTCACAGTTAATGGTCACTTAGCAATGGCTTTGACCTCTCACTCAGTCAGTGGTCACCAAGTGATGTCACAGAGTTTGCTGTGCTGTCACGTGGTAACAGGCGTGTTCCGGAACTGATCAGATGAGTCCTGTCATGAGCAGCCTTGGGGAAGGGCTCTTTGTGCTTCTTTCGCGGGAATGAATGTCTTCCAGCTTTGAAAATGCAGGTGGAAGAGGTTGCAGAATATCCAAATCTTCACCCTCACGGTAATAAGTGTGGTGTCAAACCACCTTCCATTTCCCCTGCCATCTATGTTTAAAGTTAGTCTTTCAGGGAATCAAATATCAGCATTTGGTATTGCAGAACAGCGGCAACCTAGATCTGCAGCTGGATGTTAAATTCAACTGTAAGCTGTATGGTAGAACACTGAACCAGATTTGTACAAGACAAAATGAGGATTTATTTTTACTTAAGGGTTACATGGAATGAAGTATCTGTATTTACTATTCAGTACAAACAGTGTTTACGAGGGCTTACTCCCTTATCAGCTATACATTAACAAAAGCAAAACACTGTCAATGCTGGAGATCTGAAGTAAAAACAAAAAGTGCTGGAGAAACTCAGTAGCTCCAGCAGCCTGCGTGGACAGAGAAGCAGAATAAAAGTTTATATAATATGAGATAACACAGTGTGGAGCTGCTCCTCTGATGCTGCCTGGCCTGCTGTGTTCCTCCAATTCCTTTATGTAATATGACATTTCCAAAGAAGAGTTGTATTGGACTAGAAACTTTCTCTCTCCATAGATTCTCGAGAGTTGTGGAGTTTCTCCAGGACTTCCTGCTTTTTATTTCAGCTGCAGACTCCATGTCTGTTAGTGAGCTTGTAGTGCTTTTTAACCCTTTGGTGAATACTCCATGAGCAACACTTATTCCAATTTGTTTAAACTCCTTTTAATTGTTTAGATGATAGAGTTGCTAATCTGTTTTTAGTGAATGAGGTTTAACATGACAAATGTAACAATTCCTCTTAATATGTTTGAGAAGGATGTCACAAGGTAGAAACTGTAAGGAATATGCGGGAGAATGTATCTCTACAAATCTGAAGTGGGTAGTGACCACTCCACAACCTCCCTTGCTTGAAAGATACCTCATCCCAACTTGCAGCACACATTCGGCCAACACAGATCCCCAGTATTAGTCACAATCAGGATAGGCATTAGATTAGTGAGCAGACCCTCACTTTAACAGCAAGCCCCTGGTTGTTTGATGTTGTTTCTTACCTGGGATTCCTAGCACATCAGCCTTCTGAGCATGATGCTGGTGATTGATGGTCCTTGTGCCCACACCACTTGTGGCTCCTTCCCAGCATTGATAAAGCCTTAGAAGCCAGCAAATTGAGTGGTGACATCCCCACATCCTGGTCTCAGTTAAACTGAATATTTCTGAGCTAGGAGCTTATGAGGTAGGGATTAATGTGCGAGGTTTCTAAAGAGCATTCCGTGTTAGTGAACCTGTATATCCAGGCAAAAACAAGCCTCTTGCATTGAGCCAACAGTTTAAATGTTTTCTTTCTCTACTCAAATGCTTCTTCGCCTGCCTCCTACAGATTTGTTGTTGTTTGTATCTGCCATTATGATCTGTCTCCTCATCATACAAGCACTGCCATGTATCACTATGAAGAGGAAACAACAAAGAGAGAAAACTGCTCACAAGGGGGTCCATTTTGCCCCATCTCGATCCACGTACACCACTTCTGGTTTGAACAAATCTGTTTGGTTTTCAGCATTTTCCCATTTTCATGCCAGGGGCAGTGACCATCTCTTTGCCAGGACCCAAACATTAGTCAAGGGACAATCGACAACTCTTTCAGTCCTCTCACTCCCCCGTCTCTCGCTGTCTTCTGTGTTACCCATGGAGCTGATTGCTGCCACTGAGTACCTTTTCCCTCAAACAGAGGCCGAGCCTAAAGATAAATCATTTTCTAGCTTAAATAGCCAGGGAGACAGTGCACAGTGCTCCTTCATGGTGCCTTCAGCTTCCTGGTCTATTGTGGAGCCCCAGTTGAAGTCTCCAGCTTCAGTCTCACCCAATGTCCAATCCTCGATTCCTCCGTCCAGCTTGAACTTCAGCCATGATTGCCAAATTGACCAGAGGCTGAAGTCTCCCTGTGTCTCCACAGAAAGAAGACTGTCTAGAGAATCTAACACAGACTGTAGTGGATATCCAGAGAAGGATAGTGTTTCTCATTGTCTCGTAAGCCCTCACACACCCAGGTCTGAAATGGAGCCCACATCGAATCCAGGCTCTTCATCTGTGTCTGATTCTAACTTATTGTGTACATGCCTTGAAAACTCTACCATTGAAGAAAAAAAACCTCTGCCATCACCTCACCATTTAGCCCAGGGACTCGGAATGTGGTCCCCAGGCATTAGGGAAAGCCAACCTTTCCACCAGACCTCAAATTTCTGGAGTTGTCTGCAGGACAAATCACCAAAACCAAACTCAAGCCTGAAAGGCTTAACTAGTCAGAATGGTGAGGTTCGACTCACAACGCTTAAGACAAAAGTTGCCATTGCTTCAACTGGTCAGCCAAAGAGGTCAACTAGAGCTTACTCTGCAGGTTTGAGGTTAACAACAAGAACAAGTGAGCAGAATAGACTGCATCCCAAAGCAATGGATGATGATGACTCCTGCACTATTTCACACCTCACTAGCCTGGTGAGACCAGAAGTCAATGTAAGCAAAGATTATTGTGTAAATCAGACCCCAAGCCTAACATCAGTTCCTAGACACTGTCAAAATCCACGACTGCTTTCGGCACCATCTCCACCTATGTCAAACTTAGAATGGAAATCAGAACCATCTTTTGCAACTCCAAACCACATGAGATCAACAAAGTGTGACGACTTTGTCGAGATACCACTTGATGAAATATTCCCTCCCAATTCAAAAACATTTCCTGAAAGGAAGGCATGGTCAGGAATCTCAGAACAACTATTGGAACTCTGGACCAAGATTCTTCCATCAATCTTTGATTGTTTTCATATCCCAGTGATGGACAAACTCCGAGCTCCTGTTGAGAAGAACCTGACAACAGTCTCCAATAACACTCTGAATGTTAGAGTTGAATCAGAAGCACCAGGCTCGGGGACTGGCTTGGATGCTGGACACGTTTGGGGGAAGATTTTGAAGGTTTCTAGATCCAACCATGAACCATTACCATGGGGGAAAGCCGTTGCTGATCTACTCTTCCAAGAAATTTTTAAACCAACTGAGATTCTTAAAGGTGACCAGTCCATTTCTACCAGAGGAACAGAGTGGGATGGACAGCTACCAGCTAGGAAGACATCAATGACCTGTAAAGACCAAGACCGTGCAAAAGAAACAATTCCTGTCAACAAGGAAATGTTAATGTCCATTCCTGGACAATCTAACAGACCACAGCAATTTATTCAAACCTTTCGTAGTCAATCCTCCCCTCCCTGGGCAGTAACCCAATCCAGCTTGAAATGAGACCCCTTCCATTGGTCCCTTCACCTTATCCGTCTGAGTTTCAACTTCAAGATCAGAGCTCCAGCATGAAGCATGAAGAGGAACTGCAATTAAACTAGTTAAAATATAGTTAACTTTGGTAGATTTTCCCACTTCCTCCATCACTGTAAAACAACCCAATTCATTGGAAATTGCAGAAGAATAATAAACAATATTCTTTCATTGGCTTGTTGTGAATATGTTTGACACCATAGAAGGAGTGAATTTCAGGGGATGAAATAAGTTCTGATTCTGCAGTGAATCAAGCAGACGGGTGTTTGATGGGAGGGGGGTGAAGGTTGGTGGTTAACTAAGGTAACAAAAGTAGCCAACTGCAGTCAAGTTGATTGTCATGCTGACTATCCATTTGCACACTAAGTACAGATGGGTTGAATTTCAGAGCAAGAAAATCATCATGTCACTTTTCAATTCTTTAAATCTCTCAAACTGCATAGTATGTCTTTCTTGTGGGGGTTGGGGGTAGTGGTGCAGGGCTTCACATTGTCAGATTCTCAATGGGCTTTGACTTCTGAATTCTTTCGTGGGATGTGAGTGTAGCTGGTAAGGCCAGTATTTAGTGTCCAACCCTAAATGCCCTTTGAGAAGAGGGTGGTCAGCTACCTTCTTGAATGACTGCAGTTCATCCAGCATAGATCCACTCACAGTGCTGCCAGAATGGGCAATGAGTCCTAAACCAGTTTTCTATTTTGAAACTAGCCCTAGCTTTGTTCAGGAAAGCTGTTGTGCTCCAGGGCTGGGGTATCAGGCACCGTAAGTGAACTGCAGCCTCATGTTCCCTGCCAACAAATAACTTTCAAAATCAAGTCTGCATTACTATGATGAAAAAAATTCTGCAATTATAATTACAGATTATGATTGACAGGATGGGACGCAAGGTGTTTCTGCAACAGTTACTGAGGGAATCTGTGCACAATTGTTACTATAGAATGGGTTAAATTATGTTTTTTAACATTAAAGGTGCCGGTTTGCGGTTTCTGAATATCATGTAGATGATTTACAGATTTGTAAAACGCTCACACAAACAGAGTGAGGAATACAATATGATATTTTGGGAAAGACTACAAAATAAACATTTCATGATCTGTTTTTTGACTTAACTCATTTTGTGAACAATTCATTCAGTTCTTCTTTGCCGCAGCGACACATTTTGCAGCTCTGGGTAACCTCCCAGCAGATCTAGTGGTTACGTTGGACCTGCCACACTGGGTCTTGGGTTAAAATGAGAAGTATGGACTTGTCCTTTAATTTTAACTTTATTTCATTCTCAAGCAATATTCAATGCAAAAAGAATGAAGAATCTGGACTAGGTATGTCAATATTAGGTAACCGGGGACCAGCAGTGTTCAAGTGTCAGTCTAGGCCTGTTGGAGTCAGCTGATTAAAGCTGGGACAAAAGGACTTGGTGCTGGGATCAGCCTCAGCTCCCCACCAGGGGCTGGAGAGCAAGGTGAGAAAAGCCTGACTGCTGATTGGTATACTGTATGTGGCTGGTGGAATTTGTGAGTATCTGTGTGTCTCTGTGAGTACATGTGATTTTGTAATACAGGAAATACTTGTGATTACAGAACAGACTGAAGAGACTTTTTACATATTTGCAAACAAAGTGTTCAGTTATGAAAGGAGAAGCTTTCATGTGTGGGTTGGTTTATTCTAGGCTGAATCCTATTTCTTATTTCAACTTTTGTTGGTAATGATTTAATCTGTTAATTCCATTACTGTGTAGTATTTATCTCTCCTCCACCGGGGCTTAGAGGTCACCAGTAACCATGGCTATTGGAGCTGACCCCTGGTGTCCGAGCTGACCACACCCCCACTCCGCTTCGGAGTCCGAGCTTACTCCCTGTGGGCGACGTCCAGTTGCTCCCTATAACTTGGGTCTGGCAGTCCACTCACCTCCTGTGGCTGGGGTTTGGTAAATCCTTGCTCCCCTGGTATAAGGTGGCCTGATCCAGAACCTGCAGCAGGTCAGTGCCATGAAGAAGTCTTGCCCCATGGAGTGGAGCATTGACCTCACAGTCAATGGGGCTGAGAATTGGTAACACCTTGAGTGGAGAGCACGGCCCCCACAGGTAGCTGGACAGATCTAGAGGAAGCAAAGCCAGAAGCATCTTTAAAACCAGGAAATTGGACAATCTGTAATTTCAAGACCTTCAGACAGTCCCATCACTAGTCCAAACCCCCACCAAAGGTCATGCAGTCATGAAGGTTTATAGCAGAGAAAAAGGCCCTTTGGCCCATTGTGCCTGTGCTTGTCGAAAACAAGCACCTAACCTTTCTAATTCCATTTTCCAGCACTGTACATAGCTTTGTATAGCTTGGCATCACAAGTGCACATCTAAATGTTAAGAGGGTTTCTACCACCTTTACAGGCAGCGAGTTCCAAATTCCCAACACACTCTGGGTGAAAAATATTTTTCCTCACGTCTCTTCTAACCCTCCTCGCCTTACTTTCAATCTATGTCCCTTGGTCATTGATCCATCTATCAAGGCGAAAGTTTATTTCTGTTTACCCTATCTATATCCCTCATAATTTTACACATCTCAATCATGTCCCCTCTCGATCTCCTCTGCTCCAAGGAAAACAGTCCCAGTCTGCCCAATCTCATAACTGAAATTCTCCAGTCAGACAATATCCTGGTAAATCTCCTCTGTATCGTTTCCAGTGCTATGATATCCCTCCTATAATGTGGATTCTAGAACTGCACTTGATACTCTAGCTGTGGCCTTACAAACATTTTATACAATTCCACCAAAGTCTTCCTGTTCTTACCCTCTATGCCTCAACTAATAACAGAAAGTATCCCATATGCCATCTTAACCACTTTGTCCACATGTCTTGATAGTTGGTGGGGAGGTAGGGATTGTATCAAACTCAGTGAGATTTCCAATTCCTAATCGCTGTTCACTCAGTCTTTCAAACAGCTGGAAATCCATTTATGAATGCAGATCTAATGGGGATTGCACAGTGAGTCTCCAATTGGGGAGCAGGTTGGTTGCTTGAGTGATCTACTGGACAAAAGGATTACGTTTCCAAAAGCAGCTAGCCATGAAATTCTGAGCTTTACTCCCCACCTGGTCTCCAGTCCCACAGGCCCAGATTCTGTCTGTGGCAGCATCGCTCCCCTGTATCCAATCCATTCAAAGCCTTCAATCTCTTCTGATGGAGGGGACCCAGTTGTTCAGCATCACAACAACTGTCCTTGCATAGGCACTGAAATGTAACATCTGGGGTCAACACAGGCAGATTCAGCATGGTGTTAGATACAGAGTAAAGCACCGTTAACACTGTCCTAATCAAACAGCCCCAGGACAATGACAGCACGGGTTAGATACAGAGTAAAGCGCCCTTGACGCTTTCCCTAACAAACACTCCCAGACAGGTACAGCACAGGGTTAGACATAGAGTGAAGCTTCCTCTACACTGTCGCCAACAAACACTCCCAGGACATGGACAGCAGAGGGTTAGATACAAAGTAAAGCTCTGCCTACCCTGTCCCCATCAAACATTCCCAGGTGAGGAACAACATCATGTTAAATACAGAGTAAAGCTCTCTCTACGCTGTCCCCCTCGAACACTTCCAGGACAGGGATAGCATGGGGTTTGATACAGAGTAGAGCTCCCACCACACTGTCCCCATCAAATACTCCCAGGACGGGCACAGCACAGGGTTAGGTACAGAGTAAAGCTCCCACTACCCTGTCCATCAAACACAGCCTAGGCTCATACTGCAATGAGGGCCCGATTCAACCTTTTCCTGCAACTCACCACTGCCAGGTCACAGGTCAAATCTGTTTGATGGTTCCTCTTGATGCCGCGGCGGGAGCTCAGCTCACAGACACTGCCGGATGAGAATCTGCAAAAGGGAACAGTGTCAGTAACCAGAGACACAACCTGCCATTATGTCAACACTTTCACAACTCCAATCACAGCCAGTTACTCAGCGGCAGCTCCCGAAGATAACAATGAATGCTGGCCTTGCCAGCAATGCCCATACCTCCAACATTTCAAATATCCTCTGTGACCATTGGTCAGAACATTCAGGGCTGTGACTTGGCCACAGGATGGGAGTGAACCTGGATACAAGTGATGGTAGGTCCATGATGGGGCAAGGTCCTCGGTGTGCTGGGGACAGTTTCAAAGTTTTCCGATTATGTGAAACATGGAAGAATTGCAAACTGTGAGGAGGTTAGTGTGGAACTCCAATAGGACATTAGCAGGTTGGTGGAATGGACAGAGAGATGATAGATGTGGATCAATTCAGAAAAATGTGAAGTGATGCACTTTGGTTGGAAGAACATTGAAAGACCATATAAAATAGAGGGCGCAAGTTCTAAAGTGGGTACAGGATGGAGGGACCTGGCTGTATATGTGCACAGATCATTGAAGGTGACAGGACAGGTGGAGAAAGCAGTTAATAAGCATACAGTGTTCTCGGCTTTATTAACAGGGGCATAGACTACAAGAGGAAGGAGGTGACGTTGAACTTGTTTAAGATACTTGTTAGAACCTCAGCTGGCGTATTGTGTACAATTGTGGGCTCCATGTTATAGGAAAGATGTGAATGCATTGGAGAGAGTGCAGAAGTGATTTAGAAGAACAGTTCTGATTGAGAAACTTCAGTTGTGAGGATCGATTGATGACGTTATGACTGTTCTTCCTGGAGAGAAGAAGCATGAGAGGAGATTTGATAAAGGCTTTCAAAATCATGAGCGTGTTGGATGGAATAGATTGGGAGAAGCTGTTCCCTCTCTAAAGAGTATCAAGAACAAGAAGGCTGGGAGATGGGTGCTTCTGGGGTCTTGGCTGAGAGATGGATGCTCCAGGAGTATAGGGCTGGGAGATGGGTGCTCCTGGGGTCTCAACTGGGAGATTGGGTGCTCCTAGGATCTTAGGCTGGGAGATGGGTACTTCTGGGGACTTGAGCTGGGAGATGGGTGGTCCTGCGGTCTTGGGCCAGGAGATGGGTATTCCTGGGGTCTCGGCTGGGAGTCTAGGTACTGCAGGGGTCTTGGGCTGGGAGACAGGGTGCTTCTGGGGTTTCAGGTTCAGGGGTTACTCTACCTGACAGCCTCACAGTTATCCCTGTGATGCACGGTCTGATATCCTGGCGCAGCTTGAAGCTGTGGATTCTTCACAGGAATCAGTTGAAATTCTTCATCCT